CTTGTTCGGGAATTGAGCGTCGCGCAATGTTGGGGATGGCGCCGGCTCCAGCTCATCCACAGACGGCGGGAAGTATCGCCCTCGTAGAGATACTTTTCGAAAACACGTCCCACGATGCCTACCAAGTGGTATGCATTGCAACCAACCATCCCACTCCGATGCTCCTGACAGCTTACCTACAGCAGGTCTTGTCCTGTCCTGTCCCGTCCCTGGCGCGCACTCGCAGCAAGGTGTGGTTGTCGTGTGGGTTGTGCGGTCAGCGCAAGTCCTCCGTACCTACCAGCGACGTACCTGGGTTATCCCCAGGTTATCTCAGGTTATCCTAGGTTATCGACACTCCACGCCCTCATTCGTCTGTCCATACAACGTCACTCCCCAATATAGCTTCTAGCTCCCCTCACATGAACTTATTCGTGTCCTAATGAGATCCGGCGCCGGCCGAAAATGGCCGCCTGCAGAATTCTTCAAGCTATAAACGCTCAGCCCTACTAATAAGGTCCCAGTAATCCCAGCGATCCCAGCGATCCATGCATTCGGGATTACAGTACTCTCTACTCTACTGGCGGCCGTACAAACGAGCGTACCGTATGGTCCCTGCGCTTGGAAACTCCCGTCACCAGTTTTCTTGTGCAGATTTGATAGTGAGGCGCCGTCGCTACTTTGTTGTGTCTATCATGCGTCTCGCTCAGTCAGTTTCCTGATAACCCTATGCGTAATTCATTTACCTAGATAGGCATCCCATGTCCTCCGTCTGTTATTGATCCGCTCATCCGCGCATCTGAACGGCGTTATTTCAGTATAATCCTGTCGGAGCGTTCGACGCATACATGTAGAGCCTCCAAATCATCTGAGTCAGCCTGTACAACGATTATACCGCTTTCGAGAGCCCAGCTTCCGAAATCAATCATATCGTTATGTTTACGGGTGTGCAACTCATGTATGTGGTCCCGGATCGGCAAGTTCTCATTCGAGAGCTTGTTCGCAAACGGTTGCAGATTGTGGTCAAACTAAACTAGCCGCTCTTCAACCCCGTTTTTGCATACTGCAGTCATGTCTAAATCTAGCACCCTCCCATGTAGTCAGATCGTGCGCTCGGTTATCGTGGGTCGTCTGACCTCTCTCGGACGGCACTTGGCGACGAGTCAACGCCCACATTGCGCCATGAGGCCATGTTTGTTGGCTGCAACGCTTTATATACACTGCATCCAACGATTGGTATAGCGGGAGTCATGAGGAGATACGATGCATCTGATGATGCCGATCGCCTCAGCAGCTCCCGTGAACTCCCGTCCGGCAACTTGACTTGGACTTACGTGCCCGCCATTTCCAAAGAAGCGATAGGCCAGCATGCTTGTGACCAAAACAGGACAGGTCGCAATAGCAGACTATCAGTGGTGTCTACCAATAGAACTTACAACCTATAGAGCACGCCGCATGAATGAATTGCTGACGAATACCAAGCCAGGAAGAGACGCGACCAGTTTTATGAGAACGTGTCTCTCTTACAGATAAGTTATATCTGCACCTCGTCAATTACTCAACCTGGTCCGGGCCTTGGGGCTTAAATGCTACCGTTAGACGAACATCACTAGTAGTTGCAGTATCCCACTTCGCATCTCATCTCACCTCACGTTAACCTTAGCCCCAACAAGGTAGACCGGGCTCGAAATGCAAGGGAGGCGATGGTTCCAAGTACCATATGACAATGGCCAACCCATGGAGCTGATTCTTACTGTGGCCTAGACCCCAGTCCTGATACTATTCCCGTATCCTTACGTTCTCCGTGTCTGCCATCTCTCGCACGAGATGTAGACGGGGCCGTCAACTAACTGATATTGTGCGACTTCCCTCTTCACCGCTGCATTTCGCGAGCGCCACTCACGAGACTCACGCTGCTGCAAGGATCGGGCGTTGTGCTATACGGCAATAATTGCACCGACGGAGATGATGTGCTCTCGCTTCCTTCCGCCCCATCCCCACCCTAATTGGACGACGCGGCCAAGAGAGGTTGACGTTCATAACAACGAGCCGACGTCTTGCCGAGCAATAAGCCTCACCGTCTTTGTGTCACAAGGCTACGACGTCCATGAAAAAAGTTGCACTAAAAGAGACGATCGCCAATCGCTGCGATTCTTTCGCCTGCGCGCTTAGCAGGTGGCTGAGAAATTTCACACGTGCCTTCAGAGCCGGTAGATGTATGTCGCAATGCAAACTCCATCTGGGTACCTTTTTTAATAGTAATACCTATCTACTCAGTAAGTAGTATGAGTACAAAGTGGTGTTTGTTTGTCTACTGGTTTTCTGAGACATCGGTAAACGTTGTTTTCGTGCCATGTCGCACTTTTTGTTCTGGGCCCATCGTGACCCGTTCTGGTCTCTAATGTCGCGGAAGAGGCAGCAATGACGATGATAAATGATAGTACTTTTATACAGTATATTATCTCCCCCAACCTTCCATGTCGCTTCTTATTACGCTTCACCCCTCCGTGACGCCAGCTAAGGTGAAGTAAGGTGAAATGGCTGGCGATCTTGATTCTCCATGCCGAGACCGCCCACTGTGTGGCACATGCCAAACCCCACGATGAAAACAAACCCGCCCGTACTGCCCCGTATAGTTATCATGCGTATTATCTATTACCCAGGTCCATGTCTCTCAAATTTCCGAGGAAGTGGAATGTGTCTCGCTCGGGATAGGCATACCAGCCAACCGGTCACCCAGACCTGTCCGTGATTCGCTGGAACAAGGCCTATATCGGAGAGCGAAGGCTAACTTTATGGCAATAAGTTGTTTACATTTATGTCTGCAAGGCGATGAAAAGACATCCATAGGTGGCTGGTAGTTCAGTTGCAGTACAGGGTTTCATGCCGTACTCTGCCCTACAGTCAGAAGATCGTCATATTTACTAATTCCCAGAGTAAATCATCAGCCCTCACTGGTACGGCAGTTTCTATAGGCGGCGGCACAGATTGGCGCCACACGCATACGGGAGGCAACACGAATCGACCGACTAGGCTAGGCCTACGACAGTTCAATAGTCTACAAATCCAATAGAATTTCATGTACCTACCCTTGGGATCACGCAATCGAAAGATGCGAAATGCAACCGTCCGTGAATGCTATTGATCTTGCGATCTGCCACTCGATTCCGCGTAGCCACCTACTTACGCACCTGTGTATGCACGTCTAATCAAACTAACCGTCTAGTTGCTTGCTCCCGTCGCCTGCCCGCATGTGTCTTGCATGCTGTAATGTCCGGGGAAGCCATTGACCTCTTAGTATACATCGGAACACGGGCTATTCATTTAACACTGCTGCTGAATACGGTGGTATGACGTTGGCAGTCAAGAGATCTGTAGATACGTTGCCCCTTAGAGGTTGACATGGGTGGGCAAAAGGGACGGAACAAATGGACTGGAAAAGCCAATGAGAGAGTTGCATCAGTAGCAACTACAACCGTTACGTTGCCTTATTTGTATCTTTGCTAGTACCTGGATCAGGGTGAAAGGAGGCGCTGAAACAGATCAAAACCAGGTTGATACACCGCTGTGGTGGCTACCTGAAGTTGATCCAGTCAACTACCAATTAGCTATCCATATAAGTCTCTACGGTCAATGGACTATGGAAATGATTTCAATATAATAATCAATAAAGGTAATTTATAATGCTTCAAATAAATAATACCATTGACGCCAGGCATTTCAATTTGTCATCCCCATCTCTCGTGTCCCGTTGCCCCCATGGCGTAAAATAGCTTCATGCAGTGCTATGTCAAGAAAGATTGCCATCGTAACCGGTATACCGCATGGGAGCAGATCTTCTCTTCTCGACTGCGTGCATAAACGCTGTGGAACTTGGACGCCTCCTTCCTCTACTGCGGAGCGTCGAACGGCACTTCCCAATGGCCTCTCGATTTCTTTCTCCAGCAGAAGAAGCAAGAGGCGGTGAATACGACTTTGTAATGTCAATCATCCCGAGGACTGAAGCTGCAGAGGCGAGGGTGTGAGCGATGGCTTGGAGATGGGGGAGCGAGGTTAGAGAGCTCGGTCGTTAGATGATGGGGTGGTAGTATAGGATTTCGCATGCCAAGCAATGGGAATTCATTGAAGAACACATAGTGAGTGGCGCTTCGATCTCAACAGGCGAAGTTCATTGTACCATAAGAGTCTAACAATACAAAACTTCATACCTTAAATTGACTACTTGACCCCGTGCTATGTCAAGTTCATATTGTCGGTGTAAGACCAGTTGTTAGCGCCCGGTGCTCTAGATGTTGGTTGATTGCACCTCTAGATTATCAAACGTAATTAAACATGTTCATTAGATGTTTAAAGTAGTACTGAGTACGGAAAGATACTCCGAGGGAGGCCTGAGGCCGTACTCATTAGTGGATAAAACCGTTAAGAACGGTAGAATAGGCTTCAAAGATGAACATGTAGACATATCCACAAGAGACAAGAGACAAAGGTGAGAGGAATAACAGCAAATATCAAATCAAATTTGCTGCAAAACCGCCTGCGTCATCATTACCCTGCCATCCCACACTCTGAGACATACCTCGGTCCAGATTCCTACTCGGCCGTCCAAGTAGATGATGATTACCAACTGATAATGATCATGAGCTTATTAGACTTAACCCATTAACACGCAATAAGAAATTATATATTGACATTGCTGTATATAGATTACGAGACGTAAGGAAAACACATATCGGTTCCCGAACTGCGAGACATGCATTCTTCAATGGCGCCTCACGAAGCAGGCGTGTCAACACGAAGATAAGAAGCCACAATGCACAACAACAAAAAAGCTCTTTGGCCGACGGGGTGAATTTAGAGCCGCGTGAAACAACCTTCCCTGTAATACGCCATGCGGACCATGTTGTTTCTTCAGGTGCGCCTGAATATGAGGGCTCAAGAGTTGTCTAGCAATGAAGAAAAGGGGTAGGAACGGCTTCCCCTTTTACTACGCCAGCGAGGTAAGGGTGCAGCCGGGCCTAGGTCAGGCCCATCTGGATGTCAAGCACAAATTGGAAGGTAGGCTGGCGCCAACTATCTTGAATTAGTGATGCCATTTATAGATCTACGTATATACATATGTGCGTGTGCGTGTGTACAAGCCAGAATATCGCGTGTAAACCCCATGATAACCACATGATTCCCGAGTCAGCAATAGCATAATACATGATAAATGCAATACAATCGATGCTTGAGTCTGTAAGAGACTTCTGATAAAGTACAAAACCTAACGCCATGGCCATGCAGATTCATTATCAAGGAAGTGGTAATCCCGGTAACCGCAATGAATCCTATGTGATACCCATCCCCTAGAAAAAAGATCATAGCCAAGTTCATCAATCCACTCCTTCATCTTCATGAGGAACGTGTTTCTGTGAGGTCTTATTATTACCCATGGTTGGTTTTCTAAACAAGCCATTGACTCCATTCCGAGCCCAAGCTCCATTTGTAACAACGTCCATAGCTCTATGTTCTGCAGTTGCTTCTCCTATCTCATCGTCATCATCGCTGATCATATATAGCTCGTCTTTGAGAACACGGCCACTTCGATCTAATGTCTTCATGGACATAGAACTCGCTGGCTCATCCGCGTAGAGATTAGGGTCTCGGCCTAGGATTCGGTCCGCCTTTGAGGGGGTCCGCCGTCCACTGGATGGTACTGGCGATGCCAAGTAGTGTCTGCCGGCACCCTGAGGTTGATCCGGATAAAAAGGTGTTACTGGTGTATCAGGTTCACCCCAACCGGCAACGCGTTCCCGCTGTCTCTGGGCTTCGCGCTCATTTGCAAGACGATCTCGCGCTTCTAGCCACTTGGGATTGGGGTCCCATGTCCAGCCATTGTTCACCGTAGTCGGTATAGGCAAGGCCCAAAGAGCAGGCCGAAGACCAAACAAATTCAACAGATTTTGTTTTATGCCGAGGTCAAAAGCATTTGGTAGCTTCTCCGAATCTTGCTCGTCCATATATTCCTCATACCGTTTACGAGCACGGTATCGTTCCATTTCTTCGTATGATGCGTGTGGAGGCATTCCATCGTTTCTGGAAAGTGTGACCTCACCCTCTTCTGGTCGCGTAACCCCTGGTAGCGCATTGGCATGCATATCAAGAAGTTGCTGGCCATATTTAGGTAGTGCTATACCGTCTCCATTATGCTGGGCTACAAACTGGTGCTGCAAAGTCTTCCGTAGTGGACTGAGGTACCGCGTCCTTTCCAAGCATTCAATGGTGGTTTGCCCTCGGCTGGCCAACCAAATGTGCCAGCCAGTGAAGGCACCAACGACGAGCCCGATTATCCCTGAGATAACGGCAAGTAGAATGAAGTTGACCGGCAATATGGTGTCAGTATATTGTGTTTGAGTTAGGAGCTCATCGTAAACCCATGTCCCGGACACGGCAAAACAATATAAGCAGAAGATAGTGGTGTAAATCAGAAAAAGCAAGAAGGCTTTGTGATTTCTGAGGCCGATGCAGGTAGCCAGCCAGGGACAGTGGTGGTCCATCTTCAGCACACAGCGTTGGCATGTTGAGCAGTGGTGCGCACGATCAGGTTTCCGAGCCTGGCATTTCTTGCAAAACCGGAGCTCTCCATTGGACTTAACAGTGAACGAGGTTGCTATCGGCACGGCGGAGGTGGGCAGACTCGAGTATCCCATGTCATTTGTGGTGCTTCCAGGATCAGTGAAGACGGCAGTTGTGTAGCACCAGTTGAGCATGGTGTAAAGGGCAAGACCGCCGATGGAAGAGCCGGTTCCTGTGGTAAGTCGTCAGTCGCGGTCAGGATTTGGTGTTTAGCGACCCATATCTACATAAAAACGTTGTTCTCGTAGATACGGATATGCGCCGACAGATCCGAGGGAAATAGACTTACCAGTCCAGCCCTTTGGCGCACCCTTGGGTACAGGAAAGGAACCTATCTTGACAACGACCCAGACAGCCCATGTGGTGATCCCGTAAACGAAGGTGAGGGGGAAATATGTCAGGCCGCGACAGCAATAGCGCTCTATTCTACGCGCCCACCGTCGAGACATGTTGGATGATGGCAACGGGGGCGACGAGGCTCGAGCCATGGACGCAGGCAGAAAGACGGGCAATGGTGTGTACAGCGAGCCCCGTGAGGGACGAGTGAAGAAAACAAGACGACGATTTCGACAACGCTACGTAATACAATCACATTATGAGCGAGCGTTGGCGGCTTAGTGGTGTTGTTGTTGTCGTTGTTGTGGTCGTCGTCGCCGTCGCCGTCGCCGGCAAGCCAATTTGTAACGTGTTGGGATGGAAGGATTGGCATTTGTGCTGTAAGAATCAATACTTGGCTTATACATGTTATTAAAGGCCCCTTATTAGTCCTACATATGATGTAGCGTGTACACCCGGGCTCTATCTACTTTAGGTAGGCCACCTAGTACATATACGTTCTAGGCACCCAGAACAATGGCATTTACCTACCTACCTACGGTACCTAGTAAGTAGTGCCTATGTACCTAGGTAGGGGCATTAGGTAAGGCTGTCTAGGCACCCAATAGGTACCTACCTACCTACTGTTCGTTAGTGCAGTTAATAATGCGGCGCAGCGCAGCTCTTCCTGAATCTATTGTCACGAAGCTGCTGATGAACCGCTTCGAGTTACTTTCCCTTCACGCTAGTCGCATACCAATAGAAACTATATATATGTAGAGACCGCTCATGATCGTGCATCGCACTCTACTGGAATATATATTACCATATTGTATGCCCGTTGTTGATTCAGGATCCATGGGTTTCCTTCTTGATTACGCGTCGTTGTATTCCGAACGTGACAAATCACGAAACAAGCGTTGTGGTTTACTGCTGAGCTCAAGTGATCTATTAAGAGAGGAAATGTATCAAATAGTCTAGGGCGAGGGCAATTCCATCCCACGCAACTAAGATGATGCGATAGAGTTGAGATTACCAAACGTAGATCGAGGCCTGCGCCGAGCTAAGCTGACATAAAATACACATTGACCATTGCCTATGTGACAACTTACAAATACGGTAGGCCGAAAGCCTTCTCAATTCATAAGAAGCATGGTTTCCGTCCCATTTTCCATCAAGCTCGGAAATTTTGGGAAATCTCGACAAAAAGCCCCTCAGATTGACGATTGATAAACAAAGAGCACCCGCTCTTGCGACGTTGTGGATAGCTTGCAGTCCTGTTGGGTTTTCACAAACTACCTAGGTAAATAGAACATCGTCCTGTATTATGGTATTCATTCAACTTATACTTGGATGATGCATGAATCCTCAACTCGTCTCCTCACGAATTCCCAGGCAATTATGCCGACAATAGCACATCTCGACAACAGAGAACCTTGATCTTCCCGATTAATCTCTACTTGAAGATAACTTGATTCCTCACTTTAGGAGAAGGGCACGTCTCTCGAATAAGCATACTCCTTGGCCAAGGCTATTATGTTATAAATTGAGATTGGCGCTAGAATCTTTTCAACTGTCAGATCTATCAATACCAGGGCTTAGTCCATTCAATCCAGTATGTATATGATCTACTTAACCTACCTAAGAGGGCTCCTGCCCAAGTAGTTTCATGGATATAGGTATATGTCCTTACAAACGATCTTCTTTAGTTAGTACTAGGTACCCATAGATAGATATTGTCTTTGGTCCTACATCGTGGGATTTCTCAAATTAGTCTCCAAGGCCGTAAAGTCCGCCCAATCTGTTCAGGCAAATTATAATATCTCAGGATTACTCGGAACGAGGCGCTTTAAAACCTGCGTTCCAGGCTGCGAAGAAGTCTTGGTCAGTCTCAGAGAAGCATTGCTTTGCCTGTTACCAGCTCCTGTGACTGTGAGTTGTGACTGTCGGATTCTGTCGGCAGAGGTACGACCTCGGTTTGGTACCACAGTCCCTGATTTGTGCTCTCCTCCTTCACAACACGGACTTAGGTTGCAGATGTTTGTGTTCCTCATATCCATAACGCATTACCTGTACTTCATATAAGTACCTATGCATGTATTGTACTTGACCCAACTAGTGGAAGGTACGTGATCCCAAGGCTCCTTCTCTTCACCTCACCATCTCACCTGCCTCCTCACAGCTTTTCCCGTGGATACAATCAGAATACCTTTCCTCTCGCCATAACGCGTACGCGCGTGCCTTTACCTCATTGTTATAGTTCCCCGCTGTTGTACCTACCGTATACTCTATTTCATATTTTCAATCCTGCCGAAGTTCGAGTTCTAGCTTGTGCAGCCTCCGAAAGCCCGACTCATACGAGACGGCCTCAGCTTCTACCACGGCATCGTTGCGCGACCTTAGCATGTCAGTCACCACGCAGCCACATAGCCAACTGCACGAAATTAATATAACAGGGACGCAGCAGTAGCTACCTAGGTTTTACTCGGCATCACACGATGAGCACCAAGGCTCTAAGCGTGAGGAGCGACCACTCTCACGTAGATGTTTCACTCCAGTCGCTTATCTGTCCGAAATGCAACGTGAAATACCCCAACATCCACGAGCTTCTTACGCACCAAGCTGCTGAAAGGCATTTTTCTTGCGATCAATGCTGCTTGTGCTTCTGGTCTGAAGTCGGTCTCCGAGATCACAAACGAAAAGTACGTAACAGACCCCTATCCACTAGCTTTTTCAAGCCGCCGTAACCCAACCAAAACTGCGCCTGTGTAGAACCATCGGCCTGAAATCGACCTTGAATGCTTTGGATGTCAATCTCACTTTATTCGCGCCGGTTTGTTTTGGGAACATTTAGAGAGTGGGAAATGCAGTGCCATCTACCCCAGCGATTTAGTGAGACTTCGAGAGAAGAATCTCGAGTTCGCGAAACAGCTCGAGCGGCGCAGAATGAAGTTGGAGGACAGTAAGTAAACAGACAACCAATTCCCTCAGCCTGACTTCTGCTAGCATCCAATGTCCTCAGATACAGCTCCTTCAGACGTCACGCAATTCCTCGTCAATACTCACATCGTTCGTCTATCACAACTAACTCAGCTGCAAGTGATCCCACACGAAGATAGTCACATTAAAGGAGAGGAAAATACCTGGGCTTCGAACCTCAAGGAAGATACAGCACCTGTTCCGCCTGTTGTGACTCCAGACTTCCCTTCTCGACCAGCCCCTATCTCTGCAGAGAATGCCCACCCATTATACTACCGTAGTGAGGATTTTCCAGTGCTTCCTACCAACCCTAAAGGATCAACGGCACCAAATCCGCGCGATGAGAAGAAGAAAGATAATGCTTGGTCAACCCTCAAAGCCACCGTCTTCCAGACACCCAGCAAAAGTTCGGTTTCTTACAACGCCGTTCCGCCGCCTGTTTTATACGATAGCTCAACGGGCAGTGTCAATAAAAACGCATTCAGAGAGTCAATGCATAATGACAAAATTCGACTCTTGCAAATTGGTAACCACCCAGCAGAAGAGGGACCACATGATGCTACTTCTAATGGGCTGATTATCAATCCGGATCACCCCGATTACAACCCTGCTGTATACTACAACGAGCTGCTGGAGAAGTTCGTGTGCCCCTATAAGATCTGCAAGTAAGAAGCTTTGTGCTAGTTTGAGCCTGGTATCATACTGATTAAGCCATGCAGGAAGAAGTTTTATGATGTATTCTCTCTTACTCGTCATCTCCAATCCCCGGCCCATGCCGGTGGTCGTATTTCATGTATATGCTGTAAGAAGAGCTTCACAACTGTAGCGAATTTAATCACCCACATGGAGATGGCAACCACCTGCCCAATTCGAGATACTGATGGTTTTCGAAGAGCTCTTGGTCAGATTACCGGGGGCATTTTGGACTTCCACTCACCTTCAGGCATTTTCTTCATTGACGACAAATCAGTTCAAGAACTTCTCAAACTCCGGACTGCATAATATCAAGGACTATCATAGGATTGATGAGAAAGAGAAAAAGTCTTCAATGTATGTACCTCAAATGGAAGCGTTAGGGGGCTCTTCGGGTAGATTGGTAGTTGGCTCGCTTTTATTGCTTTTGTAGCAAAGCTAGCCCTACGTCTTCTGTGGTTTCACTGAGTGAGTGTGAAAAATGGCTCTCCTGTGTGGTCTAGAAGGCTTGGAACTTTAGTCATCGTCAATAATGATTCACTAGGTCTTAAAGACTATAGTCCTTTCCCCCCTCTCCTTCTTCCTTCGAAGTGGGGAGATGACCTAGGCTATTTACGCCCGTTGAGCTTTGCACAATCTAGAACTCCCTTTCTTCCTTCTGTCTACCTGTTGATGTCAATTGCATATAACAATCTGACCCTGTGACTCCGCATCTTCCCTCACCTATAGCTTCACTTATCGTCGAACGTGCGGTAGGGGATAAAAGACCCATGTGGGTCTTGGTAATCTTGGCCATGTAACAGTGAGGGTCTCGGAAGGAACAGCTTGTAGGGAAGGATTCAATTCCAATCTCTGGCACTGGGATTCATATAATCTCTCCATAGCGAGGCATGCCTGATGAAACCCTGAGGATAAACGAATTGTTGCAACAATAGCTAGCTGTGAGCCAGACGAGGAATACATGCGCCGTGATCGTGTAACAAGAGGACTAGCCCGTAAGTAAAACAACATAGTTTCTCCCATCAACGCCCTCCGTCTGAAGCTCGAAGCTGGCCTTGATCTACGGCCAAGCAAGCAGAGCTACCACATCTAACATAAGACATTTCGGCATAAACATAGGTAAAACAGGACTCACAGGGATACTAGTAAATATGGTGGTGCGGACATAGTGGGCTTAGGCGCGGGGATTGAGACGGGGGAGGGGAACTGACGTAGGAGTTAGTTAACTAAAGTCCGATTAATAATGTACGACCACGTTAGTCTTGGTAGCTCTAAGTGGTGATCAGTGAGAATGTTGATATTGTGGCATGAGCTTTATAAAGTAGTAGTGTATATTCAAAGCCATCTAATTCCCAACCCCTTTCCCTCACTTTAGCTCCCTTACGCTCTGCTTCCCTCGCTCTGTCACCATGGCTGATCCATCAAACCAACCCAGGATTCTCCTGACTGGCGCTAGCGGTTTTATAGGAGGATCAGTATTGACGCAGCTGCTCAACTCCACATCTCCAAGCATCCAATCTGCACCCATCACATGTCTTATGCGTGGCGCGGACCGGGCTGCCAAGTTGATAGCAACGTATGGTGACCGGGTGATTCCCGTACTCTATAGTGAGTTTGCTTTCGCGGCTTCTTGACTTATAATTCCGTCGTAGATTTTGCGCGTGTGAAATACAATCATTGTATCTCTAGCCCTCCCGTGTTGCTAACCACGGCATGTCTCGCGAAACCAACAGGTGATTTAGATGATCTTGAGACCACCACCGCAGTCGCCGCGCAGCATGACGTGGTAATCAGCACGACCGTCGGTTATCATACTCCTTCAACGCGTGCAATTCAAGAAGGTCTGGCCCAGCGAAAGCGAACCCATCCTGGTAGTGAACCTTGGTTCATTCACACGTCGGGCACGTCGAATGTAGGCTCGCGATCCGTCTCCAGCGCATCACCGGAGGGTGGTACCTTCGACGATGTAGCTGACGACGTTTATGGTTTCGAAGTTGCGCAAAATACCAAAGAGCCGTATGCTCAACGTACGACGGAGCTGGCCGTCGTGGACGCTGGCCTCGAGTTGGATGTGCGCACACGTGAGTCTTTTTTTAGTATGAAATATCTCTCACAGTGATCCTTTCTCGAGCTAGGGATCACAGTGTCAAAGACCCCATATCCTTCCAAGATCTTCTCATTTCTCAAACGAAACGAGCTGTCGATCACTGCTCACCTGGAATAACGCAGTCGTCGTTATGGCGCCGACCATATATGGCGTGGGCTCGGGCCTTTTCAGAAAGCATAGCATTCAAATACCCGCTTTCGTAGCCACCGCATTGGATCACGGGCGCGCTGTCGTCATCAGCGACGGCAGAGCCGAATGGGATCACGTCCACGTGCAAGATCTAGCAGCTCTCTACGAAATCCTTGCTTTGAAGGCTCTCGACGCAGGGGACGCCCTTCCCTGGGGGAAGAAGGGCATCATCTTCGCGAGCGTTGGGAGGCATTCATGGGGCGAGATTGCTCAGGGCGTGGCGCGAGCATGTCATGACTTGGGCGTACTTCCGGATCTCCCAGTCGACAACCTCAGCTTGGCGGATGGTACGAGGCTCTTCGCCAAGTCGTACTTAGGAGAGGCGGATGAGCTCCTCGTTGAACTAGGCTTGGCGAGTAGCGGGAGAACCATCCCTACGGTAGCACGCGGTTTGGGGTGGAAGCCTCTGAGGGGCAAGGAAGATTGGGAGAGAGGCTTTCGTGATGACGTTGAAGCCGTCTTGGAGGAGAGGCGAGAGAAAGGGCACTGAATTGCGAAACAGTCTATCTTGATAACATTGGATATCTTGTAGGGCTAATCCGGGGTAAACCGGGGTCTTCGATATTAGCTTACATACCTAATGTACCTTATGCTTTCTATTTTCCATTGGTCCCCGTTCCTCCTGTATTTATCGCTTTGTTATCTAGCAGTCACAAAGAGATTACGCCCTGGTTATACCATTGATAACCGCATTTGTGAATCCTTACTTTTATAAGCTAACGTTGTGAAGTCTTTAGAATGTGTAAGTAGATAGATGTATATACCATACAAGTAGGTAGGTTAAGTAGATAGAGGTTGCGGGACCTTAAGGTACCTAGGTAGCTTAAATATGCAACTACTTAGCACCGTGGCAATAAGCTATATCATAGTACAGATTGCCCACATATGCACTGTAGGCACATCATGCTTAAGTACCTATGGGTACTAGGTACCTACCTAGTATGGACTACTGCCCGCTGTCATGCTCCAGTTAGAGCCAGCTTGGCCAGATGCCACATGTCAGTCATCATCACCTCAGCCGCCACAACAAAGCACCAAGACCCCCAACGTGGAATTGTATACCATCTTCCTATACTAAACCATTCTACCACGCCATACGCCCCGTCTCCTCTTGCGTTATAGATTACTATCCTATGTGCATTATTACCTAGGCAATATTTTCTACCTCCGAAGATCCTCCCATCCTGCACGCCTTGAGCGCTGCCGGGCCACGTGATACATAGACACGATGGCTACCCCCAAGTTCAATACCAAATCGCCCACAATCAAGCGCATATGTATATCGCCCTCTTCACCTCCCTTTTTCCTCTACCCGATCAAAGTCGGTCCCGGCCTGACACATCTTCATTTTTAGTGCGTGAAGCCGCCGAGCTCTCTAATTCACCGTCCCCCGACTACACAGCATCGCCCCTAGAATCCGACCTCTTCGAGTGGCACTTTACGTTGCGAGGTCCTCCCAAATCTGCCTTTGCGGAGGGTATATACCACGGCCGTATTGTACTACCCCCCACGTATCCGCTTAGCCCACCATCGTTCCGCTTTACAACGCCCAGCGGTCGCTTTGAAGCGAATCGAGAAATCTGCCTAAGTATATCTGGTCACCACGAGGAGACATGGCAACCGGCCTGGGGTGTTCGGACGGCTCTTGTCGCTCTTCGCACTTTCATGGAAACCGGCGCGAGCGGGCAGATTGGTGGGCTTGATACAAGTGACGCAGTCAGAACGCGGCTTGCTGCATCAAGTCGTTCCTGGCGCTGCGGTGTTTGCGCGCGGACAAACGAGGAGATCATCGCCGAATGCGAAGAACGATGTCGCGAGACTGGCGAATCCTCGAAGTCGAAAGAGGTCGAGATCCCCGCCGAGCTGAGGATGGGATTTCGCGACGAGATGGAAAAGGCAAAAGCTAGCACAGGCGAGGGTGCGACAGGAGATGCCGAGAGCGCTGAACTAGCCGAAGGCTTCGTACAAACTACTCCGGAGCAGCCACAGAATGCGCCGGTTGCTGGAGCAGCAGCGCCACAACCAGCACAACCTGTCCAAGGAGTGCCTACCCCGACACCAACAACAAGGATACCTTTGTCTGATCCGATGTTGGTGCGACCTGCCACAGCTCAGCGGACGATACATGTAGATCCAAATGGCGGCGTGCCGCCCTGGCTTGACTACGCTATCATGGCATTGGTTATGATGCTAGTTGCCATCATCCTTAAAATCATATTACGGTGAAGAGGAGATTGCCATGGTTTTTTTTATCCCGCCGTGAGGCGAATGAGTGAACGTAAATGCGTGGAGTCTGGCGCTTCTAGTCTAACTTTTGGGATACATTATGTAGATGTTCGTCAAATTCAAACAGCCTACTAGACACTAAGATTTTGTGTAATTATAGATTTGTAGACGGCAGCGCCTCTATTTGTCTGACCCTTTGGAAATTTTGAATATTACTGATATGCTGTGGTGATCTACTTCTTGTTATGTAGATACGCTCTTGGCGCGGTCTCCCCACAGCACATATGTCGGCCTCACCGCGTCTCGTAGTCTACGGCCGTTGTAAGCACAAAGGAACACATACTATGAAAATGGATAAGACGGTCCTCGTATTACGGCAACTGAGCCGGGGAGACCCAAGTTCGGTGATAACGTACGGGTGGACAATCCCGCCAAGTTTGCGTTAACGCAATCTTAAGCTGTTGTGTGCTCCCTTGATTACATCAATATCCCGAATTGGATTGTCTGCGGAATGAGTTCTGGCAGCTTTAAAGCAAAGCGTGACCCGCTAATGGGGATGTTATGACTCAAGGTATCACACGCACCAGCGAAGTTTTCAGATTGTGATAGGTCTCTGCAAATGCGCCAGTGCGACAGACGGCGAGCAAACAGAGCCAGAGCCCGTGCGTGAACAGGTGAGTAGTGATTTTACAGTGTTACCTCTGCTATGGGTAGTACGCGGCTTCACTCGGCGTCAATCTCGTAGCCTGCCATTTAGTTAATTAGACGGGGTTCAGGCATAGTCCCAGTTACTGTAAGGGATGTTGTACACTTGAGCGAGATTTTTGTGATAGAAAAACTTGTCATCACTTAAACCCGGTCATTCCTATGACGCTTAGAGATTTGTTGCCTAAGTACGCACGGCTATTAGGACATCCCTTAATTATATGCTTGCCGATTCAGACTTCCAAGCTCATCTAGATGGCAGGACACATCCTAGTCTCATTCTAATGCAATTCCTATACAAATCAATAGAATCAAATGATACACGGAATCAAATCGGAAATAAAAGATGACAGATTCATCACCCACATCGCCAGCAATAAAGCTACGTAAGAAGAAGGCTGACAACACCCGGCCCATCAGGGACGAATACGAATATGAGAGAAGATGGCCTAGACGTCGAGGACGCTACGAGATAGAGACCCAGTGTACCAGTTGTCAATGGTGGTTTGATTCTTTTGATCCAGATGCCAAAAAGTGTCACATATGTGTAACACCGCCTCCGCCTCTCGTATGTATTCTACCAACTAACTACGATCGACAAGTCGAATCCACTGATCGAACCGTTAGGTCGAAACAACTAAGGCGCCAAGCACTCAAATACCAGTATCCACGTCAACGGTACAGGAGAATGAGGCTCCACAAACAGCACCGAATCCGTTCCCAGCCATGGGAACGCAGCTAGGGACCACACAATTGGAATGGGGCATACCGGCATACGAAGCTGGTGACAGTAGTACACAGTATCAAACATATCCGCAGGAATTTGGAGCATCGTTCGGCCACCCTTACTCTCCTGGGATAGCATCCAGCTCGTTGGGAGGGTATTCACCGAATCAGTTATGGGGGCAGGACTACGGCATGCTGCCTTTCTCTCTCAATGAGCTATGCGGGCAAGAATACAATATGTCACATAATCCTGCATCAGATTCTACAACATCACCCAACTCCTCGGTATTTATACCAAACCAGATGATGACGCAGGAGTATAATACACCATCAATCCAGTCCATAAATTTTGAGCAAGGGCACAGTCACCCACCAGATAACATGCCAAACCAAACACAAGGCGAAGGGTATGTGCAACCACGGGACACATTAGGTCTAGGAAATGCTATGCCATCTCAGGAGGAGATTGGAGAAGCTAGCTCAAATACTTCGAACACTACGACGTCCTATGTACGACCACTGCGGCCGTTACGACCACTGCTGCCACGAGAACTACCAGCAGATGATATGGCTTCCTCCACAAATGTCCAGCCTTATAAAGGGGATGATATGGCCCGTTCTGGTAGTAAAGATGCAAATAGGCGTCATCAACGTTCCAAAAAGCACACATCAGTGGAGACAGGCAACAAAAGACTTCTCAAGCCTAAAGATACTGATTACAAGAGAGGAGAGAAATAAGACCAGAGGAAGAAGGCAAATCGAAAGAATGGCTATCCGCCACCCGTAGGCTGCATTACAGGAAAGGATCAGAGGCTAAGCTTATTACAGCGTGCGTTGTCATTGTTTATTCTCTTTATTTTTTTTTTTTTTTCATTCTTGCGAGGAAATTGACTGTTCTATTCCCGTAGGGGTCATATCTATGTTGTCTGTTCTTTGTCTACTGTCTATTTCATACTGCTAGAGGAGATCCCAAGTTTTATGTCACTAGACTTTTCGTTCAGTCATCGGTATTCTATGGAGGCGTGTCAAGAACTGATAACCGTGTAAAACATGGAGAATTAATTGTGTGGCTTCAGATATAAAGATTGTACCTAATATAATGCCTTGACTTGCAATAGTTGTACGCGCTACGTCCGGGTTTATACTTTATTACAATTTGAGTGTGATGACCATGAGACTCAGAGAGCAGATAAGGACAAGATGAAGGTCGTGCAATAACCCTCTGTTTGATGATTCAGCTTTATCGTGCCATCTATCTCGAATACATGATGTTAGTTAATTAGTGTGACTTATTGCTACTGAATGAAGTCTGAAAAGCTAACAGTTACAAACTGCTGTAGGGAAGAAAAGAGGCGAGGTCGATTAAAAAAAAAAAAAGGAGAGAGGAGAAGAGTAGCCGATTTTGCATGTGTAGCATAATTTTCTTTGGAAGCAAGTGATAAAAGAAGTTGCAGACCACTCTACATCAAGGCCTGCGAACAGCTAATGCTCAATATTTGTTCTCTTCGCTATGGTTCTCTAGACCGATAAACCAATTGATAATAATTCGCAATGATGATTTGATGCGAGCATATCGGAAGAACACTCCAGTTACAAAGGGTGCATAGAAATAGAGACTGCCTAGTCTTTCGCAAGTTACAGACGATAAATGAACATGCGATATCAAGATGAGAAAAGATGTTACGACTGTGAGTATGTGTAGAGCTTCAACTTGCTAAGTGGTAGTGTACTATTTTTCTACCTCTTCGCTTTCGAACTACAGCCTTGTGCCGGCCGCCGATAGCTGCTAGCAGTATTGACGTATCCCTGTCATTGCTATCTTAAGCATGAAAACTCGGTAAAGCTGCTTCTGAGGCCTCGTGGCCGCAATCGGACCAGCTACGTCGAGCTGGACGTAGTAAGAGTGGGACTACATGCACAGAGCGAAACAAACTCTTGATACTCCGGATTTTCGACATTTCCAAATGTTGAGAATACGGCACAACAACTCTCACACACAATCGATCACTCGTAAACCGCTTAACCAAGTATAACTTGGATCTGGAGGAGATTTTATTTGCATTTTCACTGAGCACTAATTACCATTAGAATCTATCGTTCTATAGCCTGTTCTAGCGGCGTATAGTTGAAAATTCTAAGGGTAGCTTAATTCAAACCTGATCATGGCGATTATGACAGGAATACTTTTTTTTCCTTCTCTCAAAATGTTACTTCCGGCTTTTGCATTTCAGATACTTCAGATAGGGGACTAAAGTATTTTTCCTTAGTGAGCCAAGCCATCAAGCTCGTTAGTGATATGCTGTGGTAACTCTATCTATACCTCATTCTAGTCTAGGGTAGGGATTGGATGTATCAGACACAAGTCGTCTTTGAAGGAAAACTTCAGTGTATCATTCTTCAAACGTTGCGGCGAAGGATACGCATCTATATATCCCCCAGCATTTCTGTCTTCAAGTGGGCGTTTTGCTAGTGGCTACCTTCAATGTGAGAGTTACAATTGGTATCAACTTGTTCTAGAATAGCGCCACAAGCTCGCCCTGAAATATAGGGCATCATGTACTCTCGGATATGGTTCAGGTATAATGGTGCTAAGGGATAGAGGTATGGATTGCATTGCAAACGTACCTAGACTACGATGGAGAGTTCGCGGCTACTATGTATATCTGAATATGCTAGGCCAAAAGATCATGTTCGGGACCGAAATCTAGTCACGAGACAACGTCCCATGTCATGGAAATATTCGAATGGGCCGTGTCGGGTATTTGTTTGGGGTTGCTCTTACCTACATATGAAGAGAGTCCAACGCGGTCGATTGGTACCACTGCGGGTGGTTGCTTTCTAACTGTACACGTAAAAAGAAAGTCTCGTTTCGATGGTGCAAAATCGGTTGTTATACGCCAGGGGATTCATTGACCAACGCGAGTCATCGTGGAGTTGGTAGCTGCGAAACCAATCGAAACGCCTACGCAATTAATAGAGCATTCTTGCTAGGCCACACGTGCCACGACTGAGCAAGCTCCTAGCCACGAATGACCAATTGCGATGACGAACTCGAGCTGCTTCTTCCGAATGATGATGGTATGAATAACTGTCCCTAGCCGCCGGAAGGGTTTGGACCCGTTCATGGATATCATATCACCAATTGCCTACCGTAGCTGTAGCTGGTCAGGTGGACCTGCACATCCGGGGCACTCGACCGCATGCCTTGGGCGTGCCTTAGGTAACCCAACAGACGCCGGAAAGCGTCGGCGCGGGATGAGAAGAGGCCGACCTCCGATACATCATACTGCACTCTGCGTACATCCATCCGTCCCTCTTTGCATTGCCTCGTGCCGCTACTCCCATTACTCGGCTCCTTTGGTCTCCTCCTGAGACGTGAATGCCAAGATAGTGCCTACATATCGAAGTGAACACCGCCCCCGACAATTCAGGCAGTCCTCGCATCACGGGCTCATCGACGAGTCCGTCGTCATCGTCGTCATCGTCGTCGTCGTCGTCCTTGTTGTCGTTGTCGAGCTAGTATGTACGCTGATCGCGCTACTTTACGGGTCCTAGTGCTGCTTTGTTGATTTACTTCTTGCGATATAGGTGGATGTTTATGATAATTAATAAGTGCACTTGTTGGCATATAGGTAGAGACCTTATTGATCAAAGGGCGTCACTATCTCAGTTGTTCGTCGGCTCTAAGTAGGTAGGTACCTAAGTAGAAACCTCCTCTTTCTCATATTCTCGCCTTTCTTTCGCTTCACTACAACACCAATTTTTTTTTTCTCCCTGATTGCCTGTTCTGATGGATTACTGTTATGTTTCCTGGTGGCGCTCATATACCGGTACAAACATTAGCACCGGATGTGATTAATGCGCTGATGCCATCGGTGACGAAGCCCCTTGCTATGCAGCCCAACTTACCCACGCCCTGCAAAACTCTGAATATCACCGTAGCGCTATAGTAGTAAAATATGACGGTGGCTTGAGCCTCACTCCTGGCCCCATTGGCGTCTGACTCGATGGCTACTGATCTTCTTTGCACTTGCCTCCGCTCTTTGCTCACGCCCAATCATCGCCGTCTGACAGGGCCATCTCCAGATGCAGGGCGTCTGTGCTACTATGTTAGGATTATAATGCCCACCCCCGAGAATTTCGGAGATACTGAAGAACTATCCCTCGATCTTGGGTGCAGCGCCAGTCTCATTTGTCACTGTATGTTTGTCGGCTCCGGCGCCCGAGCGTTTCGAGTTCCTGCCACCGAGTTATCATCATCATATGATGTGCTGTGCCCGCTCGGGTATTGCGTGGTTGCAGCTTCATTTGTTTGCCCTAGGCTACCGTACGTAGATGCTGTGTAGACGGGAAGCGGAAGAGTTTGTGCCCGTGTCCCTGTAAAACTCAGGATCCTAGCCTAGTGTTTCGTGGCGCTGCTTTTCTGCTTATCTAACTAACATTCCAGTCAGTTAGTCTTATGGTCGCGAGTCTCATCACACACCACAGGGTGCATTGGAGAACGCCTACTGTTTTCGTCTCCGTTGCCCAGTCGCCCCGGTGTGAGGCTGTCTTCCGAGGGGTGGATGATTAATACCCTTGACCCGAGTCATACAGTATAGAATTCATCATATAAGTGAGCCCTCGTCGTCTAAGTTGGTATGCAGCGAAACTTGGACATAGTCTCCCCCTCTAGTACATATCAGTAGCAGAGATAAACACGAGTGCCCTGGCAGTGACCAAGCCGCATGTGATCACTATTACAAATTCTCCTCTTACTATTCATTTCGTCGTTACACTACATACATCCTGTTTATGGTGCTGAAGACAGGCGGCCGCTTCACGTTTGACATGATGCCAAGCAGTATCTAATTGGCTGTTCTACACACAATATATAAGTTGCCTAGTACTCACGCATCTTGTCCACTCAACCTTTCTCTACGATTACTTCTTCTGCGAGTAACTATTCTTACAAGCCGGGATAAAGCCATGGAGCACACGTCGCCACTTATCATCAGGCCGTACGAAATGGATACCTTCGCTCAATTCCCAGATCTCCCTGCTGAGCTGCGTATCAAGATCTGGCAATTCGCTATACCAGAAACAAGAGCAGTCGTTATTAAGTCACCCTATTCACGCAGAACTTCACCTACTTCGCTAGATAAGGTATTGCCACAAGGCCTCGATGCTTCAGAGACGTGGTATTCCACCACAACGGTGCCTGCTCTTTTACACGTCAATGCTGAAGCTCGACACGAAGCCTTGAAACATTATTCGCTATCTCTTGGCGTTGGAAAAGCTGAGCCGAGAGTATACGTCGACTTCAATCGTGATACTCTATTCTTTGGAGACTCGGAATTGACGCCAGAGTGCTCAACGCTCTGGACTAAGACGAAAGACTTTGAAAAGATCGAACATCTCGCAATTGTCCCCGAAAGCGCATGGAGGGCGATACAGTGGACCAAGGATGTCGACCTTGCTTCTCTACAAACCTTAATCTTCGTTCACGACACCGAGAAGACGAAGCTCGGACGCCTGCCTCAGCTAGTGGTAGATGAACTATCAGGGACCAGGGTAGGCCTCCAGCTTGGACTTGAACAGCAGGTGCAACAATTAGAGGACGCCATTACAGGGGCACAGTTTGAAGTCGAGAGCCCCGTGAAACAACGCATACAAGCAGCGAGGGAGGAGCTTGACACGCTGAAGATGGTGTTACCAGTGCGGTGGGGGAGGGAAGTAATGGTTTTAACAGCGGTGTTCAGGGAGGTAGGGGCTTGAACTATACCCTGCTTCTGTTCATGTATCATGCATTTCTGAAAAGTTTGGATACCCAATTGATAGCGTTGCTTTCCCCTTCATCAGCTCATGATGTGAACAACAGCATTGGTGACATGGTCACGTATGAAGGTAAAATGAAATAAGAACAGTTTAGTCGGACTAAAAAAAGCCTCACTCCTTGATTTCGGTACCGATAATAGGGCCGTGAGTGTATCCGGCATCTCACTATTGGGATCTATGCCGCCGATACTACCCCTCCTACGGCGCGTCCGTTCTGCGCCGAGAGCGTTTATACTTGCCTTCGAAAGATTGCGTGACACGTACACACCCTCAGACAAAGCCGTTACGGTTCAAGATTGTATACAGGCAGGATCTACTTCCAAACCTTGTCTTCCCTAGCTGACGTGACCTGAGCCTTGGCCGTCGACGCGCATAACGCCACGCAACAAGCAGTGTACAGGCAAGCAGCCGCTTTCCCCGCACGCGAGTAGCCGTTCACTGCACCCCCTTTTACTATACATCATCCGCCCATACATTCATTCGTTATCGACTCAGGGATCAAGACCGGGCCAACAGTCGGCTCCGAGATGGAAAACGTGCATATGCGCTGAGTATGTGTGCACCAGCATGGACAGCCCGACTAATTCCGATGGCCAACCGTCCTCGAAGACAAACCGCGAGGATGTTGCATATGAAGGGGAGGGGATTATATCGCTACTATTAAACGTATTGGAGCACTTCTGCAAAGAGGCGTACACCTACGCCCGGGGATTTGGAAACAACACTACACTAGCAGTAGCTTATGGATAGTGATGTTCTGAAACGTGTGGCTAAGCGGCTGGTTGACTCCCTCGCAGACGCCCTCTTCCTCTGCTTTGATTTATTTCTACACGTAATCTGCGCGTCTTGTTTAATGTGGCAGGGTTTCTGCAGGACAGGGTTCTGTTGGTGGTGAGAAGAAGATGATGTGATATCATTCGTCCGTTTGAGAAGACAGATGCGCCCGCCTTTCGTCATCTGGGCATCCCTCTCCGCGAATGATCTCCCTTGCTACCAACGAACTGGAATCGATCGTAAGCATACTTCATTTGAGGGAGGAGGTGGAAATAGGGGGGAACTTGGGGGCCGGAAGAGGAGAACCAAAATAATCCTGAACAATCTGCTTGCCACCAAATTTAGAGTCGCCCACCGCCATTTAGCTGCTGGCGTGTTGCTTGTTACTTATGATGAAGAAGAAGAGCATATTCGGCAACAGTTTCGTAGACGCACTCCTCTAGGTATCCCTATTACAGTTACTTTACATGACGCGCGTGGGATGATTTAGTATGGTGTAGAGAGTGAGCGCAATGTATAGCAATGGGATGACTTCATATGGCGCAATTCTGACACATGCTGAAGCGCCCTTTGGACCCTAAGAAAGAAAAGGCTCTGAGAAAAATGGCTTTATTTTTCTTCTATTAAAAAACGAAAAGGCTTGCCGTAGCCTTGAAAGTACCATACCTCTGGATTTGAAGTAGTAAGCCACCAGCAACGTATTACACGCGTAAGTCTCAGACTGCTTCCGGCAGAAAAAGCAAAGAGAGGAGGGGAGGGAGGGGATTGGATATCTGATACAAATCTACCGTACATCACAGGCCGAGACCTAAGCCACCGTCGCCGCCGTACACGGTCTCAGACATATCTACGTAATCGGCCCCAGGCCAAACGGTCAGAGTGAATTGACCTCACTAGTAGCCTCAGCTCGCAAGCACAGGCTACTGAGAGTGCATAATAGTAGGTGACAAGCATAAAGTGCTTCAAAAGGTTGCATCAGTTGGTAAAGTCTGACAGCTAATATGAATAGTTACATAGGTAATCTGAAATAGCCCCTCTCCTATATTATCAAACCATACGTCAATGAAAAGCGTCTGGAGCCTTCTTACAACGATTTGTACGAATAGGTGTTCTCGAGATTTTTGAGGTCGGACAGGATCCCACGCGGAGGGCCGGCCCCCACCGAAAAAAAAAAAAAAACAAAGAACGAAAGAAAGAAAAACAACAAGTAAAAGGAATATATTAG